CTCCTCTAAATGGCTTATTGTGCGTCCTGAGTTCTTAGAAACACAAGGCATACTTTGTGTGCAGTATCATGGTCACCGTGTCCCTCCCCCAAGCCTCGTCCTGTGTTTTGTTTGGCATGTAGATGAGCGCTCTGCTCACTGACACCAGTGTGCTAGTCAGAGTTAGACCGGTCTTATCAGTACCTGCCAGTCTCTCCAATGGTCTCAGTCAGGATATAATGTGGTTTGGGCTGTTGATGGTGAGACACTCTAGGTGGTCTCTGTCCATGTGGGAAATAATTATGGGGCTGGTTTGCTTTGCAAGAATGAGAGGAATGAGTTGAGGTGTATCGTTTAGTCACATCACTAGTTTGATAGCCATATCAATGTCTTCCTTTTGGGTATTTTGATATAATATAGCAATGCTTACTTACAATGGTAGCTCCATTGTTTTGATAGAGTCATTTTTCCAGCAACAAGCAGTTGTTTTTTCCAATGAGTAGTGCTGTAGCGTGGCCAAATGCGTTTTTTTTCTTTTTTCTTTTGTGGCATTGTAATGCAAACGCAGCTTTACAGCCAAGTAAGCTGTGTGAGGCAATAAGGAAATGTGCTCTCATAAATTGTCATCTCAAAGCCTTATGATAAGCACAGGGAAGTTGATTTTATTGTTCTTTCAGACAGTTCAAAACGAACTGATTCAAAAAATGATCAACAGATCATAATTATAATAATAATCATAATAATTATATGATTATTAACATAATTATTTATGATCTTACCAGTAGACTGTATTTTAATTTGAGAAACTACAGTTTCAAAATTTCCTCAACACTGTTTTTTATTTTACTTTATGCTCTTTAAAAACTGAGCTAAAAATCTAAGGAAACTCTAGTCCACATTTATTACCTTCTAGCATGTTTTTTCATCTTTAGTCTTTTTGGGTCACTGACAGACCTTTTATCAGAGTGGTCATTAGTCATTACCTGTTTGGAGATCTCTGACCCTGCTGTTCTCCATCAGGTGCTAATTAGCCAATCACGAGGCAGTATTTATCTTCCTGTGGCAGGGCAGGCAACCGCTATTTGGCTCATTTCCTTTAATACCAGAGAGGGATGTAGTAAATTCCATTTTCATCATATTCTCTCTTTTCACGTCACCAACCCAAATAACATCTTTAATGAATAGTTCATGCAAGATGAAAATCTGTCAATATTTACAGGTCATTCCAAACCCTTACGACTTACTTTCTTTTGTGGGAACTATTAAGTTCCATTTAAACATTCATCTGAAAGAGGAGCATAAGCCATGTATAATCTCATGGCTGTTGTATAAACCACAAACAACACTGTGGTTACTGTCCCCTACTTGAAATCTCATAAGCTCCTTTGACTCCGCTGTGGCGTCCACTGAGACAACAAAACCAGGGGTCAAGGCTGGGGGAGGTCAAAGTTTCAACTCTGCACTTCCTGCCTACTGCTGCTATAATCACAAATCGAGACGATTAGCAGATGCCTCTTGGATGCCATAAAAAGGCCTGACTTAAAAACACACTCCTGAGTGGGAAGCTCTTTGCTCTGAGTGTCAACATCTGAAACTTTCTGATTTACATGCTCACCAGTTGACCCCAGCAGTCAATAGTTACATGTTTTTCAAAACTTTGAGTCCTGCCTTTCTGAGTTAGGTCGCAAGTGGTCATAATCAAATGCTCATTGTGGCGGTACATTTCGTTTGTATGCTCACGTCACCAACCCAAATAACATCTTTAATGAATAGTTCATGCAAGATGAAAATCTGTCAATATTTACAGGTCATTCCAAACCCTTACGACTTACTTTCTTTTGTGGGAACTATTAAGTTCCATTTAAACATTCATCTGAAAGAGGAGCATAAGCCATGTATAATCTCATGGCTGTTGTATAAACCACAAACAACACTGTGGTTACTGTCCCCTACTTGAAATCTCATAAGCTCCTTTGACTCCGCTGTGGCGTCCACTGAGACAACAAAACCAGGGGTCAAGGCTGGGGGAGGTCAAAGTTTCAACTCTGCACTTCCTGCCTACTGCTGCTATAATCACAAATCGAGACGATTAGCAGATGCCTCTTGGATGCCATAAAAAGGCCTGACTTAAAAACACACTCCTGAGTGGGAAGCTCTTTGCTCTGAGTGTCAACATCTGAAACTTTCTGATTTACATGCTCACCAGTTGACCCCAGCAGTCAATAGTTACATGTTTTTCAAAACTTTGAGTCCTGCCTTTCTGAGTTAGGTCGCAAGTGGTCATAATCAAATGCTCATTGTGGCGGTACATTTCGTTTGTATGCATGTTGTGTACTGTTGATAAAGAAGAGCTATAAAGCTTTCCAGACTGCTCCTTTAACCCATTTATGAGGCGACAGGCTTGCGCAACAAAAGTATATTTCCCGTCATTCTCTGCGGCAGGCAGCCAGTTAAAGGGAAAATCCACAGATAAAGCATCAATTACAAACCTAATGCCAAGTAATTTAAAACTGAAATAAAGCCCAAACAAGCACTCATTTAATCTCCCAAAAAAATATTATAGTGAGTATATATATATATATATATATATATATATATATAATATTCTTTTAATATAGCTCACATGTAAAAAGTTACTTCCGTAAAGAACTTACAGAGAATGTTCTTCAAATGCCAATTCATATTCAAATTTGGACAATAAAGTAACCTCGCTAACACTAATGACAGTGTTATGGAAAGAATGGCCTAATAAAGCAATCCTTAAATTATGGCTGAATGAAACCACAGGACGTGCTTCATGTCACCACCAGCATAAGCCCTCAGGGATGTGTATGTGCTTTTTATATTAGACTTCAGTTCTCCAGAGAATCCTGATGCAATATTATTGAACCACTAAAAGAGATACAGGCTGTCTTTCTCTATCCCCTTTCTTTATCCTCTATTTAACCCTTCCTTATTTCCAATATGAGACAATACTGGGCCACTCTCCACCATGCTTCAGTCCAAAACCATTTTGCCGTTGAGACCAGAACAAAACCCCAATAACAAATCAGTGGAACACCAAACTTCAAAATGTGAATACAAAATGGTTTCTGGAGTAGCAATGAGACTACAGCACACTTATTTCTACATGCTTAGACTCAGTGAACTCATTTTTCACCTATAAGGAATGAATAAAAAGGTGACGGAGGCAGGGGTTTAGTGCCTCAAAGGGGCAATAAAGTCTTAATGATTTAAACCAGTGTAGCGAAAACCACTGTACGCTCTGAAACAGAGCGTCCCACTGTCCCAGCCAGCGGGAGAAACCAGACAGCACTGGAATGACCCTTAACACAACAAGCAGTGCTTTTTACAAGTCTACTAGTAAAATGTCTGCCTAAGCTCAGACATAATATACTGCATAATTGATCTGAAGTTCTGCTGAAACAGACAGCAGTCGCCCACTAAATCATCTATCAGAAAAACCTCAAGATGAATGTTTCATGTCTGTATCTTGCACCAGCTTGAGCTTTGTGAGCTCCAGGATAAGGAATTTCCTTGAAAAGAAAGATCTCCTCCTATTTTGCCCATAATTCATGAATTTACGGGCAAAATTAAGTGCTGGCCAGTGTCCATGTGTTAAATAGACTCGAACCATTACCACAATTACCACTAAATATGACAAAATTTCCATGAAAAAATGCATCACTGTGGTTTACTCTTTCAATTTGGTATTGTAGCACTGCTAATATCATTAACCCTGTACAATAAGTTGCTTGTGCTATTTTTCATTTGTAAGTTACTGTGGATAAAACCATCTGCAAAATGAATACAAAAAAGAAATGACACATTGTATTAAATATTTAATGGTCTAGCTTAATTCATATTCATGAAATTCATGAAAATACTTTGCAAAAAAAAGTCTTAAATGTACAATGGCAGAACCAAGACAGCAAACAAGTTATATAACATACAAACCAAGGAATATAATAATAGATAATAAAGACATCTGGGATATTCCACATCATGTCAAAAATCAACAGTAATTTCCTGTTTTCCATTAGAATAACCTAGTTCGGGCTTAGTTATTAAATGCCAAGTTTTAATAAAATGTAGCAATGGAACAATCTAATTTCAAAATAATGTAAGTTTTACATTGAAATGCAGATCCTGTTGTAAATAATAGTGAAAAATCACTGTTGTTCCATTATTCCATTAGTCTCATATAGGAAATGATAGATGTAGCTAATTTATTAAACAATGACAGGTTTTGTAATGCAGTTTTTAAGGCTTTTTAAGGGCAGCTGTAATGTTTTTTGAAAGAATTGCAGCAAAACCCTAAAACCACCAATATCACATAATTGGTGTTCTGGGTAGTTTCAACTAGGGAATTGCCTGAGTGTTCAAGTTGTTTACTAGATGGTTGCATAGATATGCACAGATATGGTCAAATTTAAGGGGGTCTGAATACTTTCCGTACCCACTGTATATGCATAGCAAACAACCTAAACAATTTAGAAGTGTCCCTTCTTGAGTCTAGGGTACTTTTCAGCCGGTTTAGTCAGCTTGGAAAAAACACAAGCCTGACCACTTAGTAAGTAATATCATAACTCTCCTCAACTAGCCGCATGATTTGAGGTATCATTCATTACTGTAGCACAAATGGTTTAATAGTTAGGGGTTTTGAAAAGTCTGAAAGATTGCAGAACTATACATATGAGCAATTGAAATAGCAAGAACCACTATGCACCCATTATGCACTATTATGCACCCAATAATCAAGCTTAGAATGCAGGGTTCAATTGTAATTATTTGTTCAGTGATAAAAAAAAATACACATTTGATAAAACAGCAAAGAATTTCACTCTAATGCTTATTTCAAATCATGAGATACAACACAAACATTCAGAGCAGGAACTGTGGCACCAACAGTGAGAGAGGCACATTCATAGAGCTTTAACGTAACACCTGAACAACCGCCAGTTTATGAAGGAAGCATTCATACCATGTAGAGCTTTAGTGAGAACAGAAATTGACCTTACCTCTGCAAACCTGACCCCTGGGTATGTGAGAAGGGCCCTGGAAACCTGCAGCTGGATGGCCTGAAGCGCTCTGCTGTATCCTCTCGCCTCATCGCCAAGTTGGCATGTTTTCCCACAAACAGACTCCCAGATTCTGTCAGAGAAGCAGCCGGTGGGTAGAGTCCTCACTATAGCTCTGGTGCCTGTGCACACTGTCTTTTTGATCTTCTGATTGTTCTTGAGGTACCTCCTGACAAGGACAGTAGAGCGCTCTTTCTTGTTACGCACAAACTCGCTGTCAGACACAGTGCCCTCGCTGTCACTACAGTCAGGTACAGACAACCTGAAGGGCGTGGACCTCTTAAGGCATCTGCCCTGAAAGCATATGGGTTTGGTTTTCCTGCTGAGCCTTTCCAGACTAGAGAAGCCATTTTTATGGTACACGGCACATACGAAGTCAGTTCTGTCACACAGTTTGTTATACATGGCAGTTCCGCAGCCATTGGTGCATTGAGGCCCTTGTGGTGAGGATACTGGCATACTGTTTCGCCTCAAATCCAGCCCGCAGAACGGCAGGCTCTCTGTGTTTTGGCCGATTACAAGTTCCATCTGGCACAGTTCTCCATCCGAGCCACTCAACGTTGGCTGTTCTTCAGCAAGGCAAGTAACATCAGAAGAAAACCCTTCTGCTTTCCTCTGCTGGGGCACCGTTCCCCAGCTTCTAGGAGGAAAGCTATTCTCCAGGCAGCCTTCTTCGCTTTCCACTGGATCGCAAAACCCACACATCTGGCAAACGTACAACCCTTCTTCCCCGTGCCTTGCAGCCCCACAGCTGCAGTTTTTGGACCTGTAGGTCTCATCTAAGCAATCCAAACTCTTAGACCTAGTATCCAAAGACTTCAGTATTCTGCCCTCTGTCCCCAGTAAGTCCCCCTCCAAAGTCCCGAATGAATAATGGACCAGAGCCTGAGGGGATACGCTCACAGGCAAGCCGTAGTTCATGGATATGAGAGCATCTCCATTACTTGCCGAAGTCTCCTTTCCGAGACTCTTCACTCCCAGCACAGCGGATGTCTTCTCGGAGGCCGTGGAGCTCATGAGGCCAATATGCGCCTGTCTCTCCACACGAACCCTCATATCACTTGGCACCTGATGACAGATCCTCCTTGCTCAACTTACACCAAAGACAAAGTTCTGGCAAACCACCCCTAGAGAAGATGGCCTTGGGATGAGAGAGTATCTCAGCGGGTCTGTCTGAAGCGGAAGCTTTAGGATGACTGCCGCAGAAAGTGACGGCTGCGTCTTCTCAATTTTTTCGCCCCTCCCGACTCCCAAGACCTCAGGGGCTCAGAACACTAGACGAGAGGGGAAGCAACAAAAATTAAAAATTCAATAAACAACATCTCTTGCCACACAGTATTTTAAGTGAACTGAAAATGTTCACTGAATAAACGAAGAACTATTGCAAGAGCAAGAACATAAACATACTGTAACACACTGGATTTACGTGGCCTGGGCAAGGCTAGAAAATTTCTTAATCCTTATCAGAGCCAAGCTGTTTTGTGTCTTACTAGGTGCTATCTGGGGAAGTTGTTAAAATTGCACTTCACCCACAAACGTTGTTTAAAACACTGAAGAAATATTTCAAGGACAGGATGTACATTTTGACAGCATGAAATGAAAATTCACATCCACTCATTAATATCTCCCTCTCAGGAAATCACACAGCTGTCCAAAATCTTACTACAGTTTGCAGCCCCACAGTCCTATACAAACCCACAGGTCTCTGGAATGTAAAGCCTTGCTTGGAGGGGGTAGGATGAATGAGATTAAAGGGGGGCATTCGCTGCCCCCTCTAAAATTGTGTAGGGACAATCTATTTCTCAGGCTGAATAAAACAATCAATGCTGACTGTCTACAAACTCTACATTTTTATATTTTCTTTAAAAAAATGTGAGTGGTGCAAAACTGAGCAACTATTATGTCGCAAGGCCAGTAGGCCACTGCTTAAAACGGGTGATGTGGTTGATTTATACACCTAAAATTAGGGAACAGTTCACCAAAATGGAAAATTCTGTCATTATTTACTCATGAGACATGCAAGTGGCATTTTCCAATCACAGACATCATCAAACCACTTTTAAATCTGAAAGCAAATATGTTTTCAGAGCTTCAGTCAAGATCATTTTTATCTGTGAATAATGTCCCGTTCTTCTGTTCTCCACTCAAAACTCTTGTATGATTTGGAATAAGGTAAACAATACCTGTAAAGCCACTTTACAAGTTTTGTCCTTATCTGCACCCAGAATTCATTCTCCAACATTACTAAAGCACATTACATACGCATTCCTGCTGAAGAATGAGATCGCAGGACAGATAAACCTGACACACCTTTGTCCTTATGACAAACTGTCATATGTTCACATGACTTCATGAGGTAGTTTGACTATGAAGCGATGGCAAAATATAGGTTTTTCATTTCACTTTCATTCTGGCCAGTTGTTAGCCTGTTGTTTAGTGACTGATGGGTGTTCTGGAGGGTTACATACTGGTTAAAAAACCCACCCCCCAAGTCTCTACGAACTGCTGGTCTCTGAATTCGGGTCCCATCGTCAATGTATATAGGGCTGTTCTAATAGTGCATCTTGACATTAGGGTTTAAAGAGCAACAATAATCGCATGTCTTAGCAAACTCAACTAATTACAGTTCTTTTAACAGCTGTGAAAGCTTAGAAGTACTGCAAGCCTTTATTTGTATATTTTACATTATGTGAGGTTGTATCCAATCTGTCATGGTCATTTCCTGTGGTCATTTGCCAACGACTGACTTGTCTGATTATGTCAGCCTGCCTGCAGTGGGTGTTATGTGCATTTGTGCCCTAAAAACCTGAACTTGTCAAAGACACCTTTTACTTATCTAAACTATGAACTGTAACAATAAAGAGGCTACATATCGTGACTCCAGTGAGGAGGGTGGGGATGAGTGTCTGTTGAGGCATGAGGCCATTGTAATGCTTGGAAATTACGGGAATTCCCACCTCCCCAAATCCACCTCCGCACCCCCTCCTTCTCCCCGTCTTTTCTGAAGCCAGCACAAACTAATTATCTGTGCTAGCTTGATTCTGATCCCATACAACAGGCGGCTACTGGAGCAAAGCCTCATCCAGACTTGGAACAGTTCATTTTAATAAAATAAAGTTTATGTGTAGGTAAACAATGCCATCATACATGCAGGTTTAATACAGATAAAGGTAATCTAAGCTAACAGCCCATCATAAATGAAACTAGGTCAGCTGTTGTTGATCTCCAACCAGTGTTATTGCAGTTAAGGCTGGAATACACTACACTTTTACAAAGTCTTTTACAAATTTAAAATCAGCAAGTGTATGATGCGACGCATGATGTTTTAAAATCTGTTCATATGTTAAAACATTAGGCATCATACATTTGCTGAATGGTTGCAGAGAGAAATAAGGAAGAAAAATAATGACTAATGTCTTTGAAACAAAAAAGCATGTTGAATTGCACTAACTGAAAAATAATGCATTGCATTAACAGTGCTTGCATTTTAATGCCGGAATTTAACAGTTGTTTATTTAAGAAGTGAATATTTTAAATAATAACATTTCACACACATTTTCATAATTAAAAATACAATAATTCATATTCACCTTCCAGAGTTCACTTCCGAAATAGTCAATCTATATAAAAATACAGTGTATAATATTCGACAGGCAATTTTCCGTCCATTTTATTTCACTTTACAAATTCGCTTCCACAAATTCAGTGGTTCAAATTCGGCAGAAAATTCAGCATTGCACATCCGGGAACTGCAGGAATAGCAGTAGAGTACCGATGCATGATCTCCATCTGCTGTTAGTCGCTCAACAGCAGGTGGTGCGAGCGGGTGTTGATGAAGACCAAAGCAACAGGTAAAGCAAGTCATGCATTCACAAAAACTGATTTACAGAAATGGAGCAAGCATTAAGTAGAACTTATGATTATCAGGGCCAGTATATATGCAGAAAAGCTGATTAAGACCCAAAAGCTGTGTTTATGTTTATTTCAACATCTTTGCTGTTTGAGATTTGAATATTTCGGAAGTGAACTCTGGAAGGTGAATATGAATTATTGAATTTTTACAAATTTTTTACAAAATTTTGAATTTGACAAAACACACAATGACAAAACCAAACAAATCCAACCTGGTTTAGATCAGGGGCCTATGCCATGAAGCCAGATTAGCTGGCTAGCTAGGTAAGTTTCAGTTTAGTTTAGGGCTGAATGATTAATTGCATTTGCGATAATATCGCGATATAGCAGCGCTGCTTCAAGTCGAACACATCTAAGCAGTCTTCAGAGGAAGCATCAAGTTGGCACGCTACAGTGTTGCCAAGTCCGCGGTTTGGGGAACCCCTCCAAAAAACGTGTATTTTACCCCCTGGAACGCAATTTTTACCGGTGGACCCCCCTCGAAACAGGATTGGGCTAGTTTTGAGTAGCAATTGGGCGGATTTTGTTGTGAAAAACTGGCAACCCTGGCACGCGGAAATGTTTGAATGCGTATATATGAACATACTTCAAAACGGCACATGGAAATTCAGGGCTCCAGACTGTGACCATTTTTTCTGCCTGTGCGACTAAATTTTGTGAGCGGTCGCACTGACGTGACCACTGCGTTGTTTAACTCATAAGCACTGCCATTTCCGCTGCATATGTGAC